TCTCGAATATTTATAGTTAGCGTCAACTGTTGATTTTCCTGCAAATTGTCAATCAAATATTTCCATTTTAAGATAATTAATCGAAGATATGAAGACCAGAATCGCAGTCTCTTTTCGTTTATAGAAACTGTTTGACCTTTTTATCGCAACTTGGTCGCATTGGTAGGAAGATCGGCGGGAACGCATCTCTTCCAGAGTCCAAAGTATGCATGATCATTTCCAGAGTCGGACCCTGAACTTGTTACATTCCCAGACGTTTCTCTGGCATCGCCCGCGAGTGTTGCCATTCGCAACACCATTCTCTACAACTCGTCAAAAAGACAAATCAAGTCGATCTTCTGCCCAAATGTGTGCTAAACGGTTCCAGTATGCCCCCCTCTGTCCTGGGCTATTCACCTCTCCCATATCCTCGTATCACCCCTTCAATACCACAATTTGTTACTTGTTTATCTGGACCTATTTGAAGTCTATTCACACTCCCCGCTGGTCCCCACATTCCTCCCACTGTGCCGGAAGTCTTGATCCACGGTTGCGGTTTAATGCGAAATCCCCTCTCCTCGGCTCAAATCCGAGTCCTTCTCTTGTCTGTCTGTTTCAGTGATTTCACTACATCCTGCCACCGTATCCGTGCTACTCAACACTTCATGTTCTACACTCTGTCTCACAGAGCAAGCCACTTAAGTCTAGATTCTCAATCGCCATGGCAACCTAACATGACGTCGCCTGGCATTTGCACCAAGTTGATCTCGTGGGCAAGCTTTTACTTCATGTACTACGTCTATGAGCAAACTTATCTACCAATTGCCAACCGGAAATGGCCACCACCGTTTCTCTCGCTCTTCCATCCCTAATTCCACTTCTATGACTTTCTCTTGTGTGTCGACCCCAAATGTGATAGCTCAAATTGATTTGAATAGACCCACTGCAGACGTCTTCTCTTGGTCTCCGATTGTTCCTCTCTCGTCTACTCGGAATTTCTTTTCATAAACTTAAAAGTATTACCTTCGTCTAGTCGTCTTCTTTTTGCTGATATTCCTTTATCCTTATCTCCTCCGAGTTTGCTTATGCAGTATGCAAAGTTTTCGCTAATCCTGCCTTCTTCAAGTCTCTACTTTATCAGGTTCTTTCCGTCGGGATAACAAAGTCTTCTCGTATCTGACCATTTCTTGTACTTCCACTACATTCAGACAGCCTTTATTTCGATTTCCACTCCAGTTCGTGTCCCGTTCGTGCGATGTGTTTCACTATTTCGGATCTTTCAGTTTCCATGGGTTCTCAGTTGGCATGCAACCTAACTTGACATTGCAGATTGCCCTATCAGTGTGGCACATGTGCACCGAGTAAATCTCGTGGTCAAGGCTTTACTTCATGTACCACGTCGATGAGCAGACCAATTTAATAATAGGAAAATAGCAACAATTCCTTTAGTCCTTCAATCCCTAATTCAAAGTCTATAACTTTCTATTGCCCAAGTCTCTTGCTTGCCGAACCCCAAATATGATGGTTCGACTTTATTTGAATAGGCTCGCTGTAGACATGTCCTCTTGGTTTCCAAATGTTCCTCTCTGTTCTCCTCAGAATTTATTTTTATATACCTAAAAGTATTACATTGGTCTAGTCGTCTTCTTTTTGCTGATATTCCTTTATCCTTATCTCCTCCGAGTTTGCTTAGGCAGTATGCAAAGTTTTTACTAATCCTGCCTTCTTCAAGTCTCTACTTTATTAGGTTCTTTCAGTCGGGATAACAATGGCTTTTCGTATCTTACCATTTATTGTATTTTCACCACATGCAAACAGCCTTTCTGTCGATTTCCACTTGAGTTCTTGTCCCATTCCTGCAATGTTTCTGCTATTTTACATCCTTCAGTGTACATGTTTCTGCCAGGTCTTTGCTGTTTCTTGATCCGTAGGCTGATTTTTCTTCCTGTTTCACCAAAATACTTTTGTTCACAGTCGCCGCATTTGATGCTATAGACTCCCGAGCAATCCAGTTTGCCAACCTTTTCATGTTGCGTCGACAGACTTGTGAAAAGTGTACTCTTCTCCTGTGTTATCACCTTGATATTCCATTTTCTTAGCAATGGTCGTAATCATTGCCTCAGTTGACAGGAGGACAGGCATATACACTTTTTATCGTCCTCCGCATTCCTGATCTTATTCTCCTAAATTTAGAGTTGAAATCTGCTTTTTATGATCGCCATATTTCTTTCTATAAATTCTCTGGGGTACCCGTTGCTAACGCAAATCCGAGTCATTTTCTCCAACTCCCCGTTCCAGAAATCCCTGTCTGTTGGTCTTAGGCTTCTGATGATCATACTCCTCCTCCATCTCGATTGTCAAACTAATCCTGACATCAAGTTGCTATCTGCAATTGAGTAAGTCATGCAAATTGTGTTATAATGCGAAAATTTCTATCTCCCGTTTCATCTCTTCTGGCTATTCCTCCGAGAGCGATTGAGGATAGGTTCACCATCTCATCCCCATCGTCCTTGGGGGTAGTGGATGCCGCTAATACCGGAACAGCACGATTTAATCGAGTTGGCCGAATCCGGCGCTGTCCTATTACTTCATATGTTTGCACTTTCTTGTCATGTCGCCTATTTAGCAAATCCTGGACACTCTGTGACTTCTGGTCCGTCATGCTCTGGAGTTTTTTAAAATCATCCGGAGTGGGAAACCTGCCAAGATCCTTCCTGAATATAGACTTAATATTTATGATCGTATTGGAGTAGAGTTTCGAGACTACCAGTAAATCAGTAGTATGAGATG